GAGATATCGACCTTCCACCCCAAATTGATTTCTCAGAATCCTACGAAAAGGGAATCGATATATTTCGATACGTCCTGAAGGTTTTGACAGGAAGTGGTGATATTCAGATGGAACCAGACCATGAAAGGTATGCAATCCAAGAGGAACGGACAGTTTCCAGCGCAAGCATACCTTCTGAGTCAAAGAAGAGCCCCAGCAGCAAACCACCAACTTCACCAGTCAAGAGGGCAGCCAGAGGCTTGAACCGCATGATGCGCAAGTTGAACACGAAACGAACTGTCCAATAAAATTCCTTCCTTCCATATACCTCCTGTCATTGAGGTGTGATGAAATGATGCAACTGGTCAGCCATGGAACAAATGTACCTTGATACACCACTACTACTCACTACACCACCAACAACGTAGTAGTATAACATTAGATCTTATCTTTCGATTCCCACACAATTGAATACTCAAATACAGACATAAACTTCTGATTTGGTCTTTTGTGGGCCTTCGCATTTGTAAAACTGTTGAGACGGGTTCTATCCCTTTTGAGTCCAGTCTGAGATCGGAGCATCATGGTCTGAAAAGTTACATGTGGTATCTTGACAATGAAGTCCTACCAGCGAGGTCAGACCATACGACAGATCATACTGATGACTCGGAGGAGTCACAGATTATCTCGTCAAGATCTCAACCTCACTTTGTAGCACAAATCCAATTACATCATAAGCTAGCGGTACCACTCTTTATCGACTGTATTTAGAATGAGAGCGAGTTCAGGTAATCGTAGATGGGGGACAGATAGCCTCTTGCTCGCTCGTCAAGAATAGTGCTGCTAGGCCATCGTCCTGCTGTTGTACCTCATTTGATCTGATTTGAGATCTCACCGTGTACTATGATAGCACAATACAAATGAATCTAATTGCATCCTGCGCTACGCGCTCTTTATCGTCAGCACCTAGTGACTGAGAGCGAGTTCTTCAGGCATTCGTACACAAGACGAGTGGTGTTTCATCATACTAGCCAGCAATAATGGCTCCTGGCTCACGATTGTTGGTGGTTTGATTTCTACCTGCATGAAGGTGCCTGGACCCTAAACGCTGTCCATCCAGCCAGAGAAACAGATATGCTACTGTAGAATGATTGGTCTCATTGATGACTGACTGACTTAAAGTACCAGGTAGTACCTACTCATCATTAAAAGTGACTATCCAGTGAGGGTTCATGCGTGATTCATCCAATTGAAAACAATTATGGTACATTCTGAAAGGGCGTTTGGATACCGGTTTTGCAAATAAGAGCCTGTTGCGAATTATGTGCAGATGACCGATGCGGAATCGTACTGATAAGTGTTTGAGTATATATGTATCAGTTGCATAAATGTCTGAACCGGCATGCAATGTTAGCAACTTTTAAAAACGCAGTGTTTTTCGCGTGCTTAAAAATCTGCGGGCGACAAACGCGTTCTCGTTTGCAGCTCAATCCGATTAAAAGAGCTCATCTACCGGTACCGGTGTTGACGGGGTTAGAACTCACAAATCATACCCACACCACAATCCAAAGAGACTTCACCACAACGAAAGAATGGAGATCT